GGTTCAGGGTGTCCCCGGCCTACTGCCCGAAGACAGCTGAGATAGGCTCCAGCACCCTTGTGAGAATAAAGCAGTTCAGAAAATGGATGGATGGATAGATATATATATTATTTCTGCTTTTTGTAGTTAAGTTGCTTCAGAGGCTTAAATTATATTATGATATTGGGGGCCATTGTTGGGGAAACTAATCGCAATTGTAATTTTATAAGACTGAAGTCCAAATATTACAAAAGGAGAAGTTGTGCTTTCACCCCCCACAAAAAAAACCGAGAAAAAAAAAACCGAGCTGCATCATTTTATATGTCAGTCCATCCATTTTCTAATCCGCTTATCCTCATAAGGGTCGTGGGGCGTGCTGGAGCCTCTCCTAGCTGTCTTCGGGCAGTACGCGGGGGACACCCTGAACTGGTCGCCAGCCGATCGCAGGGCACACAGAGACAACCATTCGTGCTACCAATCACACCTCGGGACAATTTCGAGTGTTCCATTAACCTACCACGCATATTTTTGGAATGCGGGAGGAAAGCCGAATACCCGGAGAAAACCCACACAGGCACGGGGAGAACATGCAAACGCCACCTAGGAAGGCCGTAGCCGGAATCGAACCCTGCACCTCTGCGCTGTGAGGCCGACCTGCTAACCAGTCGTCCGCCATGCCACCTCATTTTATCTAAAGTCAAAATTTGACAATGAAAGCACCGCCATGTGCTCATGAATGTCAACCGAGTACAGAGCAATGGAAGACTCTCGTAGGCGGCGTGAAGAAACTGCAAATGCGAAAAAGCTGCTGCCGTGTTGCCGTCGGCGTTGTGCTTTGAGGAGGAGGAGGAAGTGCTGCTGACCTGTAGTGTTGAAGCCAAACAGCAAGGGGCAGGACACGGCAAACGCCAGGACCCACACAGTGGCGATCATTGCGAACACTCTCTTGCGAGAGCGGTGCGTCGTGTTATACAACACGGGCATCACCACCGCCGTGTACCTGCGCGTGCACACAGACAAACGCACAAGTTTGAGGGGGGAGACGTTCACAAGCTGCTAGGACAAAAGCCGTAAGTTGAAAAACAAAGATGGTTTTTGACCAAAAAGTGACCAAAAAGACCGAAAAGTCGTCATTTTTGCATGGAAACATCTTTTTAACCATAAAAGTCATAGTTTTACATGGAAAAAGTAATTAATTCATGAGGAAAAAAAAAAAGCATCACGTTTCGAAGAAAAAGTCACTATGACCAGAAAAAAAAGTTAATTTGACAAGAAAATGTGGCTTACACAATTTTTGCAATTTTTTTCAAGAAGAAAATTCATAGTTCTTTTACAAGACAAAAAAATTACATATTTTGACATTCCACACACTAAATATGTAATTTTGCAACAAAAAAAATCATAATTTTGAATTGAAAAGAATGACTAATTCATAGAACTAATCACAAAAAGTTGAATTCTAATCACTTCATCTTACAAGTTTTGATTTGACAAAACAAGGCATACTTTTAGAAAGACAATTTGACCAATAACATCATTTTACAAGAAGTCAGAAATGTCCAAGAAGAAGTTGTAGTCGGCACAATGTTGTCATTTTGCCCCCCCAAAAAAATAAAAAAAATCTTGTCTTCAAGAAAAAAAAAATTATTTTACGATTCACGTCATCAATTTTTAAGAAAATATTATTCGAAATGGGTCTTAACACTTCAAACTTTGCTGTCAATTAAAACATCTTGACGATATTTACTCATAGTATGACCATTTGAAATACATATTTATTTGCATGACAATATTTTTTCTTGACTTTTACTTTCTTCACCCAATTATGATGTAGCACACCCTGGAGGGGGGCGCCGAAATAATCCCTCTATTCCAACGTTGCGGAAAATAATTCACCCCCCCAACTCCCAAAAAAAACAACCCACCGCTGTGAGAAATACGAAGACCGACCGCGGCGTACTAAACGATTTGCGGCGTTGATCAATCTCCCTTTTGGATTTGGAAGCTTCAAGGAACGTACTCGACAGGAAGTGCGCGTAATGAGCTTGTGAAGGTCGCTGCGGAAGAGGCGGCAATTAACGGTCGATCCGGTGCCAACGTGGACAACGGCGCGTTACGTCGTCGGGGCCAACTCGCTGCCATGATTGTTTATCCTCATCGGACTAATTACTCGCGCTCCTCTCTGGGGCCAAACGCTGGGCAAACACAATCACTCACACACCAGTACTCGCCCAGCAGTCCTTTTTTTTTTTTTTTTTTTAAATAGGTGTGTCGTCTGGTAGAATAAAAGCAGCCGGTCCACTCATAGTGAGTCCCTGGAGAATCGATCAAAAGACTGCTCGCGGTTCTTCACGAGGCAAATGTGGCTCGCTGAATATAAATTTGGCTCATATGAAAACTTGACAGTGTTCACCTTTGAGTCATCAAGGTGACTTACGCAAGCACACAGCACGGATCGAAATCAGGGGTGGGGAACCTTTATTTTTTTCCACAACTCCCTACGGGCCATAAAAAAATGTATTTTACGAGAGGGAGAAAAAAAAAAGTCATCATAGTCGTCGTATTACTCATGTAGCTGTTGTGCTTTTAGTTTTACCGGAGATTTAGCAAGCTACGGGGGGGAATAAATTCATAAGGTCATTATGAAATGAGAAAAAAAAAAGTCAAGTCAATGAATCCCACAGCTCAACCTAGCAACAAACGCACCATGTCTTCCCCATTTCCACTTGGCGACATGACAAACACACGCGCGCACCTGCGAATCTGAGCACACCTGGCAATGCGGAATTACGTTTGACATTTCCACAAGTGCTGCTATGGCGACCGCAAATGAGCGCTGACGCTTGTCGCGCACGCACATCACACATCGCGCGCGCTCACTCACCTGTCGATGCTGATGGCGCACAGGTTGAGGATGCTGGCGGTGCACATCATCACATCCAGCGTGACGAAGACGTTACAGTAGAGGCGGCTGAAAAGCCAGGCACCGCCCACCACCTGCGCCCCGCACATACACACACACACGCGCGCGCGCCAAAGGTTAGGACGCGCATTTGTCACCATCATGTATCCGCGTAACACGCTGAGGAGGCCAAGCTAATGTTAATTTACGTGTTACATTGTAAACGGAGACAATTCGATTCCCTCAGAAGCGCCCCCGGTGGCCAAAGATAGGAACACCAGAAGGAGCAGCACATGTATTCTATTTCATTGTGTCGTTTTAACTCAGTTTTTTTTAAATAATGTACAATAGGACAGAATGCTACTTTTCTTAAAATACACTTTTTTTTGTTTGTTTGTTTTTCTTTGAACAGATTCGTTTCCGTCTAATTATTGCAACCAAATTGACAAAGTTTGCAACACGGGCTGCCTTTGTAAACGACCGGTCGCTCCTCTCTGTTTCCAGTCTTGTCGTTTGCGTAAGCCGTGCACCTCAGTGGGGATGTTGCAATGCAATTCCTTGAATTCTAATTAATTGATAAAAATTGTTAAATGGCCCAACCTTAATACAGTTTGTTCTGTATGTTGTGTTTGCAAGCAATTGTCGGGAAAGCTCCTTTCTAAAAATCATGAGAGGACTGGCCGGTGCTTCAGTTGCCCATCCCCTGCATCCATCCAAAACACATACACACACACGCACACGCACACACGCAACCACAAATGCACACGGATTGAAACATTGAGCATTGTACGCGCAGTGTGGGACCCATCAATTAGAGAGGGGAAGCCAGCGGGAAGCACGATTGCCTGGGCTCGGACATTTTGTACCGATAGTGTTGTGGAGGCGGGCAATTATGGATGAATAAAATGATAAAATGAGCCGAACTAAAATTCACTCGGGATGGGACATACCAGTGATATCGCGGTTAGCGCGGCTGCCTCAGTTCTGAGGTTGCGGGTTCAAATCTGGGCTGCATGGGGGGTTGACCGTGTTCTCCTCATCGCCGGGTACTTTGACTTCCTCGCGCATTCGAAATAGACGCACGATAGGTTGAAACGAGACTCGAAATTGGCCCTCATTTCAAGGCAAACACATTTAAGACATTTAAAAGCAAACCTACTTCCATGAGCATTTCTTGAATGCATCCAGGCCTGAAGCCATTCAGTGATTGTTTTTTATTTATTTATTTTTTTTAAAGACAAATGTAAGGTCTTTAGTACTCTGGAGTAATATGTTCTGATCTTTTTGTTCTGGTAAGAACCCGAGCTGCTGCATTTCGAGTGAGCTGCAGGTGTTTGATGCTCTTCTGAGGGAGTCCAATCATAGACCATAAGAGTAATCAAGTCTACTGGAGATGGTCAATGGTTTAAAATAAAAAAAAGAGAGAGAGAGAGAGAGAGAGAGAGAGAGAGAGAGAGAGAGAGAGAGAGAGAAATCAGAAGTGAAGAGACACTTCACATTGGTTTGTGTGTGGGGGGGGGGGGATTTATTTCCTGTGCCGCTAATGAAACCAGCATGAGGGGGGACGACCGATGGTTCTGTGCAAAGTGAATGCCCGTAGATCAACTGCGCCATCCATGCCGACATGTTATGATGACCATCCAATAACAGGTTAATCCAATTCTACAGAATACCTCTTGCGGGTCCCATTCGCCGTGCCCCCCCCTCCCCGAGTGGAAAATTTGACGTCTTAATGAGTCATCCCTCCCTTTTGAATTTGAAATGTGGGTGGGGTGTGCGCTCCTATACAAAATGGGGCACCTACATAAAGTCCGCCATCTATCTTTTGGCGTGGCCTGTTAATTTGCTTTCTGTGCCTTCCGCCCAGTCGTCTGAACTCTGAGCGAAGACGAAGCATTCCGCTGACAGAGTGCAAAATTTAAAGGTGGCCAGGCGGCTGCTTATTTGACATATTTTAGGACCGTCTCAATTTTAGACCTTGAGTGGGCAAACGTCTCCCTGGGGCGTGTTGGTGGGGTTGGGTCATATCGATTCCCGTCTGTAGAGTTGTATAAACTTGTCTGGACTGTAGCCTTTTAGAAACTTGTTTATTTTAAAGTTCCCCGATCTTTGTAAAGTAACTGGAATAATAGTAATACAGTGAAACTCCTGTACAACGAAAACATGTTTGCAGCAAGAAAATTTTCACAACAGGGGGTTTTTCACTGTAGCAAATTTGATCTCAGATGTAAACACACACACACACACACACACACACACACACACACGCACACGCACACAGACAAACGTAAGTGTACTCTTTATTTTTATTCCAATCGTGCATAAGTATGAGCATAAATTATTTGACACTTCATATGGTCAGTGTAGAAAGAAAAAAAGGGAAAGAAATTATGAAATTTACGATCAGCATTCACTTGCATCAGGAAAGTGGGAATGGTGTTAATGCATGAAGATTTTTTCACACTAGGGGGTATTTTCGCCCATGTAGGTTTCGTTGTAGAGGAGTTTCACTGTAATAATTTTTCACTTCTTGGAAAGGCAAATGAAATTAAGACAGAGACGTCTTACCTCCAGGTAGACTGCCCAGGGCATGACGAGCGAGGCCACCAGCAGGTCGGCCACGGCCAGGCTGACCACCAGATAGTTGGTTGTGGTCTGCAGGGAGCGCTCCCTCAGCACGGCCAAGCACACCAGCACATTGCCGAACACGATGGCCAGGATGAGGAGGGAGTAGAGCATAGCGTAGTAGTTGCGCCCGCCGTTGCCGTTTTCCGTCTCCGATGCCTCGGCGCTGCCGTTGCGCTCGTCCGACACGTTCCACCATGGCTGCTCTGCTTCGCTAAACATCGCCATGTCCCGCCGACATGGAGGGGTTGACACGTTTGGCAGACCTGTACGGGCAACTGTGTTTGTCAGTGTTGTATTGTAAACAAACAAGACCATACTGTATGTGCTTAGAATGTATGTACACTCTTAAACTGCCGGGTCAAAAAACCCCAAAGAAACCCGAATTTTGTGAAATAGCTAATCCAGCACTGGGTCCAAAAGTTTATACCCAACGCAATGGCTTGGGGACCCCGAATGTTGGGATAAGATTTTTTTTTTCCTATCGGAGGTGCCAAGATGCCACAAGATGGCGCCAAAGCAGTACTTTTATGTTAGACAGTGCTTTGGCCTGACACACACACAAAAAAAGAACAGATCAAATTTTCAGCCTTCATAACGGAGGATATCTTCCAGAAATATCAGTGAATATGTGGCACAGATGCACACTCCACCATGTCGGGACTCGAGTGTGCCGTCTGTAACCCTTTCGTGCACCCTGTAAACTGATAACATGATAAGCTGTCCACTGTAGTAACCGCTTTCCCGAAAAGGGTTAAAGGGAATTAGACCTTGGATTGCCCGTGATTCAAGTTGCCTGCGGCCACTGCCACAGCGGCGCAGACCTCCCGCTAATTTGTCCCCCAAATGACCAACATTGGGACTGACACGCCTCTGTGCAGGATTTATGCCATTCATGAAAATGAATGCACACACACACTTATCTTTCCTTGTCTCTCTCTCTCTCTCTCTCTCTCTCTCTACAAAACTGAAAATGTCAAGCCTGTGATTGACAGCTGTACGGCCACCTCTTGCCCTAAGTTAGCCAGAACTATCTCCAGCTTCCTAGTAACCCTGAAGGTGTACAGAAAATAGATGGACTGATGATTGTGACTGGTGACTCAGCCAAAAATAAATAAATAAATAAAAATATGCCACGCCCATCAGCAGACGTCTTAAGGACTGATGCCAACACCCGTGAAGATCTTTTAGATGCAATTAATGAAACAGCTGGCATCCATGTGCGGAAAGATGGAGATAAGCGATAAAGTATTCTGGTCATGGGTGTCTGGCTAACGGGCTTCGCTGCTGTTTGCACTCTATCCATCCTCACCTTTATGGCCAAACAGGGCCTCCTGCCCCGTCTGGCTGCAGTGCGATGACACTCACAACCTCAATACAAATCTTCTCTGTCTCTTTCTCTCTCTCTCTCTCTCTCTCTCTCTCTCTCTCTCTCTCTCTCTCTCTCTCTCTCTCTCCCTCTCTCTCTCCAAGCAGCACTTGGCTGAGCTTTCTGTAATTTCACACTGGATCTTGTCTCAGTGTCTTCAAAGAATCGGATGAGCGCGCGACAGATGAGTTACTTTCTGTATTTCAAGCAACCGAAGGCACGCTTTCGCTTCATGCTAACAAACAATGCAATCTGCCATAGATGGGCTAACGAATAGCTTCTATGGCTCACTATTACACTTTAAACAACAGATATTTAAATGCAAATGGTGCAGCAATATATTTAGACAGACAATAAAACTCTCAGGCCAAACCTTCTCACATGCGTATATTCTTTATCCTCCACAAAAAACAACTGCCGTACTATTACTGCAACTTTGTGAGCCACTCACAGTTGTAAAACTTTTCTTCATTTGTGTCTGGGGGCTGTATTATACTGCCCCCCGGTGGTCAAGTCACGGACACCAGAAGGAGCTGCAAAGACCATTGAAATCAATGTCCCAAAGTCCAGAGGAGCCCAAAAGTCAAACTACTTCAAGATCAGTGTGTGAAGTTTCCACACTCAGTCATTTACTCGTGTGCCTCCGTTGTCTTTTCACAGTCAGCGCAGTTGTTTACCAGCAAATTTGAGAGCACTTCATGCTTCCCGCTGCCAACGAGCTTCTGGGAGACAATGACTTTATTTTCCAGCAGGATTTGGCACCTGGCCACACCCCCCGCCCTCTCTCTCTCTCTCTCTCTCTCTCTCTCTCTCTCTCTCTCTCTCTCTCTCTCTCTCTCTCTCTCTCCCTCTCTCTCTCCAAGCAGCACTTGGCTGAGCTTTCTGTAATTTCACACTGGATCTTGTCTCAGTGTCTTCAAAGAATCGGATGAGCGCGCGACAGATGAGTTACTTTCTGTATTTCAAGCAACCGAAGGCACGCTTTCGCTTCATGCTAACAAACAATGCAATCTGCCATAGATGGGCTAACGAATAGCTTCTATGGCTCACTATTACACTTTAAACAACAGATATTTAAATGCAAATGGTGCAGCAATATATTTAGACAGACAATAAAACTCTCAGGCCAAACCTTCTCACATGCGTATATTCTTTATCCTCCACAAAAAACAACTGCCGTACTATTACTGCAACTTTGTGAGCCACTCACAGTTGTAAAACTTTTCTTCATTTGTGTCTGGGGGCTGTATTATACTGCCCCCCGGTGGTCAAGTCACGGACACCAGAAGGAGCTGCAAAGACCATTGAAATCAATGTCCCAAAGTCCAGAGGAGCCCAAAAGTCAAACTACTTCAAGATCAGTGTGTGAAGTTTCCACACTCAGTCATTTACTCGTGTGCCTCCGTTGTCTTTTCACAGTCAGCGCAGTTGTTTACCAGCAAATTTGAGAGCACTTCATGCTTCCCGCTGCCAACGAGCTTCTGGGAGACAATGACTTTATTTTCCAGCAGGATTTGGCACCTGGCCACAAAGCCAAAACCCATACCTGGTGTAATCGCCACGCAATAACAATCCAGTTCTTGATTGGCTAACAAACTTGCTTGATTTGAACCCCATTGAACATTTATGGGGAATTGTCAAGCGGGAACAGGAACCTTGACATGCATTAGGGTTGCCATATGTTGATTGCACTCCTTTTTCTGCTGTGCTGTGGCTCATCATTTAAATAACCTTGATCAGATTTAGTCTTCTTTTTTTTATTTTTTAAATTTTTTTTTTTAAGAGTGGTAAGCTGTAGTTGTGCCACAACATTTGTCTGTCCTTTCACATGCCGTTGCACCTTGGAGCGAATTGAAACGCATTTCACTTTTCCACGCCCTGCGCGAGCATACACATTTAAACTAGCACAAAAGAGTGAAATCTTAACGCAATTTCAGACAGAGATGGGAGCGCCGTATCGGGCTTAAACATCACCCTGATCTGGAAAGAATTTATTATAAGTGGGAAGAATTAAATCCCTTCCTCCAAACAAAGCCATCAAAGCCCGTGTTAGAAATCAATCATAATGTCATTGAAAGATAAAACGTACCTCTTAGTGTGTCGAGAAATCATGAAATCCCATGGAGGAGAAAAAAAGCAGCATCCGTGCAGAGTTTAAACTTGTCTGGTTCTCGCACCCGTGTGTCTGTAGCACAGCGACTGGGGGCTGCCTGGTGCGCTCGCTGCCATTGCGCACAGGCAAATGCGTGGATGGAGGCTCTCGCCGGCGATGTGGCGTGTACACACACACACACACACACACACACACACACACACACACACACACACACACACACACACACACACACACACACACACACACACACTCCCCTCCCTTCAGATGACAGCAGCTCACACTGATTGCAAATTATTGAGCAGGCGTCAGATATCCCAGTGGCACACAATGCTGTCAAGTAAAAAAAATTGGCAATTAACCGACAACTAATCGATTATTAAATGAATCAACAACTACTTTAATAATCAAGTAATCATTTAGCAGCTTTGTTTAACTTAAAATTGTCATAGTCCAAGACTTTTCTGGTTTCAGTAGTCTTTCGTGACAGCTTTTGTGTTTAATTAAATTGTATTTTTATGTTTTTTGAGTATGTTTACAGGGGAGTGGGTGTGCCATTGGTCAGGATTTCAAAGGGGGTGCGCAACTTATTAAGTTTTCCAAAGACTGCCCCAGCTTGTCCGAAGCCACGACCGTGACATTGACAAATTGCCCACAGTTGGTCATTTTTCACCAGCGAGCCGACAGTCCGCAGCGTGTTTTAACTCACGTTTAAGTGTCCAGATGACCTTGGCACACCGTGAAAATCGGAGTCATCCTTCTTGCAGCGGAAAAGCAGATGAAGAGAATCCCCCACAGCAATAACAAACACTCGTTTGCAAAAAGTATTTTGTATGTCGGGCAGTCTTGACGTTGGCCAATCAATCTCAGCCCCGCATGAAAGGGCAGGGAAACAAGGATTGTGTAATTATTTTCACCACCGAATTCAACTCGGTGGTAGATGTGGTGGATTTTTTTTTTTTTTTTGTTACGGTAATCAGAAAAGGCCAGTTTGGTAGTTGTACACGCGGTCCTTTAAATGTGCAGAAAGAGCCAACCCACTTGCATGTATCTTAAAAGGACCACATTGTCAGCTGAGCTTGACATTTTGCTGCCATCTACTGTCCAAATGGTCCAGCTGCTTACTGACAAACACTTTTGACCAATCATATTTGCAGGAAAGTCTTCCTTCATGAACAACTATGTTTGAAGGAGAAAAAAAATACATAATGATTACATGTACGGCTGATACCAGTGCAATTAATGAGGAGTGTCAAAACGTGATAAAACGAGAAAAGGGGTCCATCAAAGGCAGGCCAAAAAGTGTGGCGGGGGGGGTGGGGGGTGAGGTGCCTCCCACAGTGGCCCCCTGGTTTGGTTACCTCTGTGTGTGGAGGAAGTGCAGAATAGGTTGCTCAATGACACATTTCATAAATAGGAAGACAACTAAAGATTTACTCAGTTGTTTAATTTCACACTTGATGGGTGGGCAGAGATCTTATTTGTATGGGAGCAATTAAAAAGTCAAAGTAAATAGGAGTCCATAAACCGTACCTATGGAGCCCCAGATATGAAATGGCCACAGCATCGCTATAACATGAACTTAAAATGATAATGTTATGAAGTTTATTGACAGAGGTGTACCTCAGGGTTCCTCTTTAGGTCCTTTAGCATACTCCATCTTCACCACCACCAAGTCCCACAAAATTGGAATAGCATACTCACAAAATAATAACTTGTACAAAAGACAAAATACAAATAAATAATGTTAATATCATTCCGGGACAGTTGTGTGAGCAGATTGAGGGCACCTTCTTGACAAAATCCTCTGGTGTTTTGTTGATAAGCCGCTGTTGCCCCCACAACAGCGCAAATGTTTGTAATTGTCCATATAAACCACAATGCTCTGATTTTGCTTCAGTTTTCTTCACCTTCTATGTATCCTGTGTCAACCCTCCTAGTTAAAAAAAACAAAAAACATTTCAAGGTTAAAAAAAAGAAAAAAATCATCATTGGTGTCTTGTGTTTTTGTTTTTCGTAGCATTCGTCAACTCACTTCAGCATGACGTGCTCCTGAAGTTCGGTGTTGAGGGTCTCTGGCAGCAGCAGACAGAGGCCCACTGCACAAACAGGTACGATGCCGTACACGAACATGGGGAGGGAGTCATGATAGTCGGCCAGGAGCCTTATCAAGGGGGCCAGGATGCCTCCCATGCGAGCGCACATGGAGTTCAGACCTACGCCACTCTGCCTAGCAACATACAGAACGCCAACACCATTTCAAAGCTAATTTAAAAAAATAAATGAAAAAAAAAATCAAATCCTGCAACCACTTCACTTCTCAGAGGAGATGAAATGATTCATCAAATAATGCGAAAAATCTGACAGCCACCCACTAACCTGATCTTGCAACAGACAGCTCGACCATCATTCCCTGACACCCACATCACTCACCACGCCAGGCCCCCGCCTTTCAAAGGCTCACACGCAAAGTCACGGATATTATTGTGTGGAAGGTGAAGATGGCGACCACAAGTGGAAACAGTCTTACTTGCACTTAGCGTGAACACTTGGAACATCAACGGGATATATTGGGAGAAGAATCAAATCGAAAAATACTCGATAGCTGGAGCCTTACTTCTTCGGTTTAACGGCATCAACTCTTGAAACCTTGGAAGTTAATTGACTTACCTTAGTGTGGTGGGGTACAGCTCTGCTGTGTAAACATAGACGATGCAGTAGCAGCCAGTGGATGCAAATTTCCCAAGAATGGCAATGACGGTCGCAACGACAGGAAGGTCTGAAATGACAATAATCGAGTGCATCAGAATAAAGCCATCGTATTATGAAAACTAAGTCATATATTTCCAAAAAGTACAATTTTTAGAGTATAGTTTAAAGTAGAAATATTACAAGAAGATGGACTTTTTTGAGATACTGGTAGTTGTGTATTTATTTATAATAAAGTAGTACATTTTCAAGAAAAAAAACGTTTTAGGTAAAAAAAATACATACATATATATATATATACATACATATATATATATGTTCAGATTTAGTGTAATATCAGTCCTGTATTTTCTCCCATTTCTTTCAGACTTAAGTTGCATTGAAAGGAAAAGTTGCATTTTTTTTTTTTTATGTTGTACGTTTCAAGTATACAGTAAGGCTTATATTTTCAGTTTCGTCGTACATTTTCAAGAATAAAGTCAGATATTTATTTAATTAAAAAAAAATCATTTTCAAGACTGAAGTCATGTATTACAAAAAAGAATGAAGTCGGATATTTACGATACAAACATTTGTATATTTTTGAGATTTTAAACATTTTGTAGATTAAATTCTAAGATTTTCATACAGTATATAAATTAACTAGTATCTAAATGAATATTATTACGAGAATAACATCCCATTTTTCAGATGAAAAAGTAATGTGCAGTAAAGGTTAAAAACACATGTTTGAGAAAAAAAATATATCAAGATAAAAATAACTAGTTTTTAAATGTGCCCTTATTCTCCAGTGTGTTTTTTTTTTCCCCCGTTTGTTTTATTTCCATCGAGAAGTCGCCGTGTGTTCAGGTTACCTTTGGGCACGGCAATAATGGAGAGGCAAGCGCACCCTCCAAGCAACAACAACATGGCCTCACACCGTCGCCTCCCGAAGCGCCCAATCAGCGGCAGAGAACCCAGACGGGCGGGAAACTCCACCAGGCCAAAGATGAGCTGTGTGAGGTAGATATTCAGTCCAAAGTTGCCAACGCTCAGGCTCAGGCCGTAGTACATCACGCTGATTCCAAACCTGTCGTACACATTGAAGACGATTCATTATTTCACTCTGTCTTAAGTCGAGCAGAGTGCGCTGTAGGTTTTAAATCCTCACCAGACGCAGCTCATGCAGAGCGCTCGTTTTCTCAGGTATGGTATCCTGAAGATGTCCAACATGCTGCCTCTGTTGGGTGTCTCACCCACCTCCATCTACAACCACGCATATCATTAGGACATTATATTTGCTGTATTTAACCCTTTCAGGGACAGCTTTTACTGCAGTGGATAGCTTATCGTGTTATCGAGTTACAGGGTGCATGAAAGGGTTACATTTGTTTTACCAAAACACTGTACTTAAACAAAAGTACAGTGGTACCTTCACTGACCAGTTTAAAAAGCTTTTACAGCCTTTCCAGTCTACATTTATTTGGTTTCTATGAATTGGGAGGTATGAATGATGGCTGAGGTATGTGTTGGTGTTCACCTTGTCCAGCAAATCTTGGGACACCTCCTTCCCGTTGACTTTTGCCGCTCTGCGCACCTCCTTCACGGCCTCCTCCTTCCTGCCCTGAGTGATGAGCCAACGAGCCGATTCTGGGAGAATCCTAGCGGGTTCAAAGGTACGACATGTAGCTTGACTATTTTCTCATGTAAGGGTTATAAATGAGTGGCCAACTGTCACGTGATGGTACCAGTAAAACGTGGCCAGGACAATAAGGAGAGGGCCGTAGAGGGCCAGTTGGAGGATCCTCCAGTCGCGGATGAAATAGGCGAGACCGGACAACAGTATGAGACCGATGGGATAAAAACTGTGACTGATAATAGTGCAGAAGGCAAACTTTGACGAGTCGCACCACTCGCCACCTTCGGTGAAACACAAGACTGCAATTAAGTTTCGGCATTGAAAACAAATGGTGGCATTGTGAAAAAAAAAGTTGTTTGGATGCTGAAACAATTTTTGCCACTGAAATCAGTTGGACGGATGTCAGGCCTTGAGTATTTGACTGCTTTGGCTTTGCACTTTTTGGAAGCATATCCTCCCTGCCCCATTGTTGAATATTTTTCCGCAGGGTTCAATTTCAGGGCCCCTACTATTTTTCATTGCAGTTTGCATTTGGTGCATAAAGCAATGTTTTTAGTTAGTTTTTTTTTTTTTTCTTTTTTAACCAAGTTGACAAATCAAGCAGCCGAAGGTTTTCTACTAAACGCCAAACTCCCAAAAGAGGCATTCATCTAAAGCCACGGAAGTCTATCCGGACAGCTGCACTGGAACTTCAGTTGATTCAGCAGATGCTTTGGTGGTTGAGCATTATAATCTTCCCCTTGAAGACTTTGAACAACCCGAACTAAGTAGGGGTAAAGTTTTATCACCGTCTTATCGCTCAGATGAACTCTGTTTTCATCAGTGGTCATAGTACCAAGCCTTCCGGTGCGTGCTTTGTCAAGAACTAATACTGTTTGGAGAGAAATGCCATAGATAGTGTAAATTGTACCACACGTTGGTGTAGTGTGATGGACATAAAGCTCCTCAAGCTGGTGCAAAAATTTACTTAGAGACAGAATAAATCTCTTCATATATTTAAAAAATGTAGTTAGAGGGACAGAATAAATCTCAATATATTTCAGTGCCGGTCCTTGTCCGGTTGATGTTCAATGGCAAAACCCATTGGCAGTGTTCTGGATACACGCCACTCACCTATCACAAATGAATTGGTGAGGATTCCCGCCATGGACACACCGCAAAGGAATTTAAGAACAATATAAACGTAGATATTGGGAGAGAACGCAGCACTGACTCCAAACAGGAAAAGAAGAAGAATGCCAAGCAAGACCACAAAGCGGCGACCAAGCCTAAAAAACAAATCATACATTAATGGAAGTTAGTCAAGGTGAAGATTGACAAACGTGGACCTGAGATTTCCAAATGTGAGCCAAACCTAGATGTGTTTTGCACCCTGATTTTTGGCGCACCGTCGGCATTTGACGACTGTGTACCTACTGTATTGTCAGCTATGTAATGTAGTTGTACCTGTCGGCCATGCCGCCCGATATGAAGGCTCCAATCAGAAGCCCGGCCATGTAAATAGACTGAGACACCTCAATCAAGGTTCTTCTGTCACAGACCAGATTAAACTGATGGAGAAACAGAGCAAGAGAATTACAAAAAATGGTATGGACAGTTTACTGGTACCGTGGCGACCATTCCCCATCTCACCTCTGTCACAATGCTGGACGCCCCAGTTGGCACCTCAAGCTTTGATCCATTGAGGCAGCTCGTGGTCACGTTCAGGCCGTACAGCTCGATGGTCTCCAGGTCGGAGTCGACCGGCGTGAACATGAGGCAGCTCTGGAAGCTTCCATCCGGGTTTACGGGGATGGTGAGCTCCTTCTGCCTCTCCAGGGTCAGGTTGGCATCTCCCCGCTCCAGGATCCAGTCAGTGTCGCAGAAGTTTGGGAAGTCGAGGCCCGTGAAGACCTGACCGATGACGTCGAAGGCGACGAAGATGTTGGGGATGCACAAGGCCACCACCAAGCGCTTCTGGAACCAGCCGAACTCGCCGATCTCTTTCAGGACGTGCGTGAAGGAGCTCATGATGCAGCGCTCGCCGGACTGCAGAACAACGTGCAATGCAAAGCCTTTTCAATCGCCCCCCGTTAATGTTTAAACGGGTGTATGTTTTTATCACACAATTCTGCTCTTTCATTACCTTACTACAGTAGAACAAGTCAGAAAACCGCTGACAACTGCCAAGCAAAATGGTGATTTTTTTTTCATGACAGTCGGAACTGTAGTAATTTATTAACATGTTTATCATTCAAGGCCAAAATCCAGTCGGCCCTAAAACCTTCCATACATGAAGTCGCGGACCTCTGAGCAAATAAATGTCATCAAATCCCACTTTTGAGAGAGGTTCAAGTCACTTGTGTTAATATTGCACCAATTCACAACAGAGGTTAATCTAAAGACACTTTACATTTACACCTTGAGCAGAACAAGACATGAGCCGGCACCTGGCAACAAAGTCAAGGAAACGCTCCCTCAAGGAAGAAAGCCTGAACAGAACCGAGGAAGGAAAATAAGATCGAGAGGTTGAGCATCCTTGGTAGGGACAAGAAAACAAGGGGCCCAACAACAGTAGCAGTCCCAAGACGACGGCAACGGCGACAATACATGTCCACTTCCAACGCCACCTTCCCCAGCCTCACCACCGCCGACAGCCAGGGGATAAATGTCAAGACATCCATCCACAAACAGGGAGCACCAGCCAAAAGTTAAAAAAAAAAAAAAAAAAAAAGACAAAGTGAAAAGAGCATGTTAGCAACATACATACATGAAAGGTGATAATACAATAGCACACTGAACAATCACCGTAACCGCAATGTTATTTGAAAAAGCGGGCTGAGGTAAAGAGATAAAAAAGATGAAGGCAAGCTTAGTGAATAGAGCCTAGAAGATGGTTCCATATTGCACACTAGAAAAGTTCTTTAATATGGTACAATGTTGCCTGGCCATGTCCTGACTTGTGCGGATGATTGCTGGGTACAATTGAACGTCCTGGAGCCCCTGTAACAAAAAGTGCTTTTTTTTTTTTTTTTCCCCAGAAACTTGAACATTTCGATAACCCCCTCTCACCCCGTTTCCATGGGCCTGTTGAAATGCTCAAAAATGTAAATGCTCTTTCTTTTAGTCAGAGTTAATGCTGTCTTATCTGGGCCACAATTTAATGTCGCTTCTTTATTGACTTAGTAAGACATTATGATGGCGAATACACTCATTCTAAATGACCACGAGACAGTTTTGTGCGTGAATTTACAAGGGATCTGCTTTTTGGGTTTGTTTGTTTTTTAACCAGTTTTGATATGACGCTGCTGTAAAAAGACTGCTAACAAAATTGGGATTAAAAAAAAAAAAGGAGTATCCTTAAAGGTTGCAAATGAAAGATTCAGTTACAGTAGCATGTAATGTTGTATGTATCTGGATATTATGTAAGAATTATAAGTTAATACAGTTGTAAACTACTAAAGGGCCAAACTTTAAAAACAAACAAACAAAAACGCTTATTTTGAAAGCGTTATTTCATACAACATCGTGGCTGACAGCTTGATCGACTCCTCAACAAGAGCCGCTCGAGAGAGGGTCAGACCGGCGACGAGTCTGCCACATTGTTGTGTTCGTGTTATGGAGCCGGTTCTTATTTTGGTTCGATTTGTTACCGACGCGCTGTCATGTCTCCCTCCTGCATGATGAACATGACGTTTATTAAACAACGACTTACGACTTCGTGACTGCGGTAATAACACTCATTTACGTATTGGTTTTGTTTTTAAAAAAAAAAAAAAAAAAGAACGGTTTGTGTTTTGGTTCGATGTGGTACGGACGCGCTGTCATGTCTACCTCCCGCATGATAAACATGAAGTTTATTAAACGACGACTTACGACTTCGTGACTGAGGCAATAACATTCATTGACGTATTGGTTTTGTTAAAAAAAAAAAGACATTAGATCGCGCTTTGACTCCCGAATGTTGTTTTTTTATGTGTTCGTTCACGTTAAGAATAAGCGCTTTTAAAACAGATGTTTTACTTGCTAGATTTTTTTCCAAATTCAACCCGTTAGGTTGGAATTTCCGGCATTAAATATCAATTGAGTCTACAAGACGGATTAAATACAAACTACGACGTACTTTGTAAATATATATAAAGACATATATACAGAGTATAACCATGGAATCACTTAACTTTTCACCCTCGGCAGGTTGTCTTGTTAATGAGCTTCACGTTTCAATTTCCGGTTGCCCTTCAAAGTAATACGTCCCGTGTTTTATGTGCTCTTCTCAAACGCTAAAATGCCACGTTTTCCATGAAATAGGAAAGTAGTACATCGGCATCAAGGAAGTATGTTGAAGTGATTGCAACAACTTTTGTCAAGTCTTTTACCCGTTCTACATGCACAGTACACGCCCAGTGTAATGTTCTGCTAGTTTAAAAAAAATATTCATTTGTGTAAGGGTAATGATATAAACCGAGTTAAATGAATTTGTGGTATTATAATTTCCGGAAGGTTTATGGTCTAAACCAGGGGTCCCCAACCTTTTTTGCCCCACGGACCGGTTAAAGTCAGACAATATTTTCAGGGACCGGCATTTAAGGTGTGGCGAATTAATACAACAAAATAATATGGTATGAGCTGCATGAAAACTGTGGTGTTTTCGAAATATAATAATAAACACAAGTAGCGTCTAATCTGGTCGCAACACTCTTATCGCTCTGGTAATGTTTAATGCCTTCAAAATACGATACAACGCAAATTCAAAGTGCATGAAAATGACGACTCACCACAGCCCCGAGCTTGATTTTCTGCAATCAGACAGTCCCATCTCGGGGTAATAGGAGACAATGACACCTCAAGTGTGTGGTTTATGTCCAGTCTACTTCGTAATTTTGTTTTAGTCGCCGTTGCTGCAGAAACTCCCCACTTCACACAGGTAGGATGTCGGAAATAGCAACAGTGCTATTGTGGCGATCTCAGAGTATTCAGCCATAACTTTGATCCAGTTGTTTCGAACGTACTTTTAAGGCCGCTGTCATTTGTGATCTCCAAGCAGCATTTTTACTCATTTTGCGGGCTTTAGTGTTTTGTTTTTAAGCGTCATTGGTCACGTGACCGAGAAGTGTGGCTTGACGTGAGTCAAGCGTGACACAGACGGATGTAAAAGAGAATCCGGTAATTTTTCAAAATAAAACATCTTTCGTGTTCCGAAATAAATAAAACAGAAATAAGGCAAGTTCTTTCTGTGCGGCCCGGTACCAAATGCCCTGCGGACCGGTACCGGTCCGCGGACCGGCGGTTGGGGACCCCTGGTCTAAACTATGAATCTCGAGACCATCTAAAAATGTTTTAGAATGGTGTCAATGGTAGTACAGTACTTGTTTTTTTTCTCTCTTTGCATCATGACTAGGTCCCTGGCCTCTGTGAATAGTGGGAGATAATTATAAATTAATAGCACTATTAATATGTTATGTATTTTCTCCTGTTGATGATAGTGTTTCTGACGGCGATCATGTCATGGGCGGTGTAACTGGATGTGTGGGCAATTAGAATGTAAAATTAGCTTTACAGTTGCATAACTTGGGAGGGAAAGTGCATAACCGACACATTTTCAGAAATAGACAGACATCCAAGGACTTACTTTATTGATTTCACACTTCATGGGTAGGCAGATTCAAGCAATTAAAAAGTCAATATAAACAGGAGTTTATAATATATACATGACACATCTCATATCCTATCTACAGAGCCCAGGAGATGACCTAGCCACTACACAGATACAAAGTGTCCAAAATGCTCATTTGTGGTCACGAAATAGGCATCTGTATCTGTTGCCATGGCAACGAAGCACCTGTCATCGTCCATATCAATTACAATGCCGTGCTTTGGACTTGTTTTTCTCCATCCGCTTCGTATGCCTCATCAATGCCCCTGAATGAATAATAAACAAATAAAAACAAAACATTGTAATGTTTATTAAGAAAGGGAAAAAAAATACTCATCATTAGTCTCGCTGTCCTTTTCCTAGGGCTCATCAACTCACCTGAGCTGCGCATGGTCCTGAAGTTCGGCGTTGAGGGTCTCTGGCAGCAGCAGACAGAGGCCGCCTGCACTCGCAGGTATGATGCCGTACACCAACATGGGGATCGCGTCGTGGTAGACGCCCAGCAGCCTTACCAGGGGGGCCAGGATGCCTCCCACACGTGCGCACACTGAGTTCAGACCGATGCCATTCTGCCTAGCACCACACAAAAAGCCAACAACGTTCCATAGCAAATGGAAGGAATTTATTTATTTGTTTGTTTTATGGCTGGGACCACTTCACTTCCTGCATGAAATTTTTGAGGTTACCTACCTTACCTTAGCGTGGTGGGGTACAGTTCTGCCGTGTAAACATACACAATGGTGAAGGAGGCAGTGGATGCAGATTTCCCAAATATGGCTATGACGGTCACGACGACGGGAAGGTCTGAAATGACAAGTCGGGATTTAAACATCACAAATAAATACAATACCATTTTAAAAAGTCATATTTTGGAAGAAAAAAAATAAAGGAAAGAGAAAATAGTGGTCTGCATTATTTTTTTTTTTTACATGACGAGTTATTTTTGAGATTCATATTGTATGTTTTGGAGATGAAAGTGTTTTTTATTTTTTTTTAAATGAAAAACCGTTTTTTTTTTTTTTTTAAATGAAAAACCTTTCCAAAAGAAATGATGAAATTTTCAAAGTAAAAGATCATACAATATATGTTTGCGCATTAAATAATCTGGATCAGGATTTGTTTTTATTTTTTTGACAAAACATCAGATGTATCGTTCAACAAAAAAGTTGTAAACATTTTGTCATATTAAGTCAAATATTTTTCGGGTTTAAAGTTGAAATATCACAAGAAAAAGTTGTGTATTTATTTTCTCGTCAAAAAATATCCGAATTTGGAGATGAAAGTAAGATATTTACAAAATAAAATGTATAATATTTTATTGAAAAAAAATTCAGTAATTTATTGTCGGGATAAAAACAATGATGACTACTTTTCAAATGTTGTATTATTATAAAATTGTGCTTTGTGTGTTAAGGTTACCTTTGGGCACGGCAATGATGGCGAGGCAAGTGGCCCCTGCAAACATTAACAACACAACCTCACACCGTCGCCTCCCGAAGCGTCCAATGAGCGGCAAAGAACCCAGACGGGCGGGAAGCTCGGCCAGGCCAAAGATCAATTGCGTCAGGTAGATGTTCAGTCCGAAGTTGCCAACGTTCAGGCTCAGGCCGTAGTATAACAAGGTGATTCCAAACCTGTCGTACGTATTTTAGACTCTTCATTATTTCACTCTCTCTTAAGTTGAGCAGAGTGCGCTGTCAGGTTTTAAATCCTCACCAGATGTAGCCCATGATGAGCACGCGTTTTCTCAGATATGGTATCCTGAAGATGTCCACCATGCTGCCTCTGTTGGGTGTCTCACCCACCTCCATCTACAACCACGCATATCATTCGGACATTATATTTGCTGACAAAGTGTACAGTGGTACTTCGACTTCCAAATTTAAAAAGCGTTCCACATTTATTTGGTTTCTATGAATTGGAGATATGAATGATGGCTGATTTTTGCGTTGGTGTTCACCTTGTCCAACAGATCTTGCGACATTTCCTTCCCGTTGACTTTTGCCGCTCTGCGCACTTCCCTCACGGCATCCGCCTTCCTGCCTTGAGTGATGAGCCAGCGAGCCGATTCTGGAAGAATCCTGGCGGGTTCAAAGGTACGGCATGTTTATTATTAGCTTGACCGTTTTGTATTTTCTCACTCAAAATGTTGTAGCCGTATGCCCATGTGTCATGTAATAGTACCAACCAGTAAAATATGGAGAGGACAATAAGAAGAGGGCCGTAGAGAGCCAGTTGGAGGATCCTCCAGTTGTGCATGAAATAGGCGAGGCCGGACAATATCATGAGACCGATGGAATAAAAACTATGGCTGACGATGGTGCAGAAGGCAAACTTGGATGACTTGCACCACTCGCCACCTTCGGTGAAACACAAGAATGCAATTTAGTTTGAAAAGAAACAGTGGCCTCGCGGGAAAAGATAGCGGGATGTAAAAGTCATGGCAGGGGTTCTGGCCACACCACACTGACCTATCACAAATGCGTTGGTGAGGATTCCCGCCGTGGACACGCCACACAGGAACTTGAGAACAATATAAACGTAGACGTCGGGAGAGAAGGCGGTACTGACGCCAAACAAGAGAAGAAGAAGATGGGCGAGCAAGACTACAAAACGGCGACCAAACCTAAAAAAAAAAAAAAAAAAAAAAAAAACAATCACAAAAGATAGCATCGGCGACTTTAATCATATTTATTTTACTTTATTACCGCAAATTGTGGATTGAGGACAATGAATACAGTTCAATTTAGCAAACGAATTGGGGGAAGGGATGGTCGTACTTTTTTGTGCCCTTGTAAAAGGGATCTCAAACTCTGATCCTCAAGGGCCACTGTGCTGCATGTTTTCCCATCTCTTCCTGTTGCAACACACCTTAGCGAAACAGTCGATGTAAATGGGAAGGTAGGACACGATCTTTTTGTGTCGACAGTGATGCGAAGCTAACTGTTGCCCCTGCCAACATGGCCGCCATGTTACATCTGTTAACTGGCTCTCGTCCGTATGTCTGTGACAAAAGCAGCCTAATTTGGAAATGTGTGGATGAGTCTCTGTCTGTTTTGGTGCTACAACAAACGACTGTGGTCAGTTATTGAACTAACACACTTTAACAAATGGGCGTTTTGAGTTTACTGGACACTTTTAATTCTGTCCGCCAAATCTAGACTCTGTCGGTTCAGAATCCATTAAATCCAAGTTCCCCCGTATCAAAAAAAATAATTTCCTGGCTTTTGAACCAGGATATGTCGACTTTTTCTACTTGCTATACAATCCACATAAGAATGTGTTGGCTCTCCTTGTACCTGTCGGCCATTGCGCCCGACACGAAGCCTCCAATCAGAAGTCCGGCCATGTAAATGGACTGAGACGCCTCGATGAACGTCCTCCTATCACACACCAGATTAAACTGATGGTGGAAGCCAAAACAAACAAAAAATATGTTTTGGGGGAACTTAAATGACAAAAACAGAGAAGTGACGTCCACAGCCATCTCACCTCTGTCACAATGCTGGACGCCCCAGGTGTCACCTCAAATTTGGATCCATTGAGGCAGCCGGTGGTTGAGTTCAGGCCGTACAGCTCGATGGTCTCCAGGTCGGAGTCGACCGGCGTGAACATGAGGCAGCTCTGGAAGCTTCCATCCTGGCTCGCGGGGATGGTGAGCTCCTTCTGCCTCTCCAAGGTCAGGTTGGCATCCACCCGCTCCAGGATCCAGTCGACGTTGCAGTAGTGTGGGAAGTCGAGGCCGGTAAAGACGTGGCCGATGGTGTCGAAGGCGATGAAGATGCTGGGGACGCACAAAGCGGCCACCAGGCGCTTCTGGAACAAGCCAAATTCGCCGATCTCCTTGAGGATGTGCGTGAAGGTGCTCATGGCAAAAGCGCTCGCTGGACTGCACAACAACACGCAAAGGAAAACCTTTTCAATCCCAACATTAATGATTAAACGGACGTGTTTTTATCATGCACATCTGCTGTTTCATCACTGCGCTAAAATAAGTCGGAGAACCGCTGACAACCGCCAACCAAGATTATATATTTTTCTTTTGTTCGAGTCCAAACTTTTGTAATTTATTAACATATTTATCGTGCAAGGACAAAATCCAGTTGGCCTGAAACTCTTCACTACTCGAGGTGGTGGACCAACGAGCAGAACAGAAATGGAACAAAAATTCCACTTTTGAGTGATGTTCAAGTCAGATCAGTTTTTTATTTTTTTATATTGAGCCAATTCACGACAAAAGTTATCTCAGTGCACTTTTTGCACCAAGGAGATTAAAGAACCACACAAGATAGTGTGAAAACTGGAAGAAGAAAACCAGCTGATCCCAACATGAGCAAGCAGCTGACTACAATCTGCCTCAGTCGGTTGGTTTGAGATGATAAACTGCTCTCAACGCCACTTTACGTGTGTGAAATGTTTCCTAGTTCTCTTTGCTCGAAATTGTTTTTCCAGCAACAAGAAAAACATTTGATTTTGTACACCTTATGAAATGCCGTGGCATTTGCAAATATGCACAATATTGAGCCTTCAAAGAAAACCCGCCAACTATGCAGAACATGTAAACACTATTCACCATGCTGGCCCATCACAAGAAATGTTCAATGTTATTAAAAACTTGACAGAGACTACAAACAAAATTTGGATTAAAAAAATTAAGCATATAATTTGAAAATCACAGATTCCATTCCCATGGAATGGTGTCTCGGAATATTGTGTAAACATTATGAATCCATTCAAAAAAATTGAAGTGCGGGGGAAGATTTATTTAATAATTTAAAAATATATAATAATTATTTATTTTAATTAATTATAACGTGCAAAACATTTCACCAAACTATGTGTTTTAAAGCAGAATAAGTGATAAACTAGCCACTTGACCCGGATATTGTAAAGATACTGCATACAGTATGATAATACATGCAATCCAGCCACGGGGTTTGTTTATTACACGCGGCAAAAGTGTGGCGTCATCTTTAGTTGAGGTCTCCGTTGCGTTACGTCACCTTTACTGGACGTTTCAATGAATGAAGCGAAAGAAAAGCGTCGCCTCATTTCTCCGTAATAATTCCGCCGCCGGGCGGCACGGTGGGCGACTGGTTGCCACGTCCGCCTCACAGTGCAGAGGTCGTGGGTTTGGTTACTGTGGGGAGTTTGCATGTTCTGAACGTGCCTGCGTGTTTTCTCTGGGTCCTCTGGTTTCCTCCCACATTCCAAAAACATGCATGGCACGTTGATTGAACACTTGAAAAGTGTCCCGCATCGTTCCTCTGTCACAATAAATAAAAACTTGACCGAGACTACCAACAAAATTCCGATTTAAAAAAAACATAAAAGCGTTCAGATTACAGATGCAATTACCACGGAGTGTGTCTCGAAACATGAATGCAAAAAATAAGAGTTTTAAAAAATATATTACAAAATTATGAAAGCGTTGTTATACAAACGCGTGTCTGACAACGTGACCGACTCCACTACTAGAACGTGGCCACACAACACCGCGCCGCAGCGGTTGCAAGGCTGCCTTTCCTGGCCGCTGTTTGTGTTTCAGAACCGGCTCTTGTTGTGGTTCGACTCGGTAGCTATCGACGCTTGACCATGTCTGCCTCCCGTACGATAATATGTTTATTAAGAAATGATTTACGAATCCACGACAATGAGGTAAGTACGCGCATTTACGTCCACGTCATGTTGAAAAAAATGAACGTTACATTTAGAGTACGCTTTGCTTCAAATGTTTTTGTTTGGTAAGCTTTTTCGCGGTTCATGTTTTAGAAACATTTTAGGTAACTATTTTGTCGTCGTTGCGCTCCGTTTTACAAGCTGGTTTGTTTAGTTAGCTAGCAGTTGGAAGTTCCGGCATACACTTTCGCAATAAAATAGTTTTCAGCTGTGCATTTTGACTAATCTTATCAGTCCAAAAATGACTATCTTAGAATATCTACCCAAGAAAATGTTTAACTCTTATACCGTCGATGTTGGCTTGTTGGTGAGCTTCACGTCAGTATATCCGGTTGCCCACACAATGCAAATAGTCTTCGGATACTCGTCTTTTCCTAGGATTTTTTTCCCCCTATCCCAACGAGATGACCCGGGAGTACAGTACTTTGGTTTGGGGAGGGCGGGGAAGCATCGTTCGAATTCTAAAAACGCTTGACCTTTAATCCACCCCAAAGGAAATGAGATACATTAACCACAATCCCTTACGACAGCAATATGTAAAGCGACATAACGCTAGAATGTGCCCTGCGATTGGTTGGCAACCAGTTCGTGGTTCACCCCCCCCCCCCGCCCACACACTCACTCATACTGTATGTATGTGTATATATATATACACACACACACACACACACGCTTTGACTACTAGTGGGAGATTACTGTCAATTTAATCTTGCTGTTTTTATGATGCATATTTTATCCGTCCGCGTAGGTGTTCCACTTTGCTCAAAAGCACGCCGATCACATCGTGCCGCTGTACTGCTTCGATCCCAGGCATTACGCGGGAACGTACAAGTACAACCTGCCAAAGACGGGACCTTTTCGGCTGCGCTTCCTGCTGGAAAGCCTCCGGGATCTCAGAAACACGCTGGTGAAGAGGGGCAGGTAATTTCTGCCTAATCTACTGCCGAGATGGATTATTTTTCTTGCCTTAAATTGAGGCAGAGGTATTATGTAAAAAAAAAAAATCTTTTTTTTTAGCTTTAATTGTACTTAAAAAATCATGAACTTAAAAAACTTTTAAAATGACATAATTAAATAGAATGTCAAGAAATTGCATTATTTCCTTCAGTTCAATGGCTATTGTGCTACTCCCGTTGCGTGGGCCTTTGGCACCTATGTCTTCAAAGTTCCAACTGTTTACACTTAAAAAGCAAAGTCAATCAAATTTAACTTGGTTATTTGCCTCCCTGTCAGAACACGGTTAAACATTTCACAGCCGCGGGCAGAACATCACGTGTGCTTGTGTGTTAAACAGCAACCTGGTCGTAAGACAGGGCAAACCGGAAGAAGTCGTGGCCGACCTCATCCAGCAACTGGGCTCTGTCAGCGTCGTTGCTTTCCACCAAGAGGTTCGCACCCTTCAACGGCAGCCTCATTCACATCATGATCGTATTTATTCATATTGCAACTTCAATCACAGGTCACTTCTGAAGAGCTGTCCGTGGAGAAAGGCGTCAAGGACGTGTGCGCACGCATGAAGGTCCAAGTGCACACCTGCTGGGGGTCCACGCTCTACCACCGAGACGATCTGCCATTTCAACATATTTCCAGGTGAGAGTCGGCCGACGCAAGCACACACAAATGGCCAATGAGAAGCCCGAAGAAAGTAATTTCCGGAAAATGATGATAAAATAAAAATCTGCAACCCCCGTTTTGGCAGGCTGCCGGATGTTTACACTCAGTTCAGGAAGGAAGTGGAATCCAAGAGTCAAGTTAGACCTGAGTTGCCCACCTCAGACCGTCTCAAGCCTCTTCCAGGGGGGCTACAGGAGGGAGACATTCCTACTCCAGCGGACCTGAAGCAGACAGGCAAGCAGCGACAATATATTTAAAATAAAAAATTGAACAAGTTAAAAAAAATAAATCTTCATCCATTAAAATGAATGAATGACTTATTTTTCCAGAGCCTTTGAATGACCCCCGCTCCGCTTTTCCATGCGGTGGCGGTGAAAGTCAGGCGCTGCGCCGACTTCAGCATTATTTCTGGGACACGGTGAGTTCATTTCTACACAAGTGACAACAACGTGTCAATACTGGATATCAGCTTTTGAGGAAATAGTTTGTCTTTTTTCATAGGATGCGGTCGCAGCCTACAAGGAGACGCGCAACGGCTTGGTCGGCTTGGACTATTCCACCAAATTTTCTCCCTGGTGAGTTCTTTCGATGTCGATTAAATCCGTCAATAGAAATTCAAACTGACTTTTAATCAGGTGTGCCGGGGCACTTTTCAGGCTGGCCGTGGGCTGCATTTCACCGAGGTACATTTTTCATCAGATACGCCGATACGAGAGGGAGCGAACGGCCAATCAGAGCACATACTGGTCAGTTGATTAGGATTTTCATATTTATTTATTTATTTTTTTACATGATTTCACCCTTTCATGCACCAAAAATGATACCCTGATAACATGATAAGCTGTCCACTGTTGCGACCGCTGTGCCTGAAGGGGTTTCTTTGACCGTGTGTGTTTTCTCACTCTTGTCATTTTTATCACAGGGTAATTTTTGAGCTTTTGTGGCGTGATTACTTCAAGTTCGTAGCACTCAAATATGGAAATCGTCTGTTTCAAGTCAAAGGTGAATGTTGTTCTCATTTATTTTATTTTTAATTTTTTTTTTATTCCTCCCTGTCATAATGTTGAGTGAATTCATCAAACGTTTATAAACGCAACAGGCAATGTTTTCCATTCCATTTTAACAACTCAGGCTAAACTTAGCTTGTCTCATCGTCGAGATGCATCACTTCAACGTGCTTTCTTGACTTCAGTTGTTGTACTACTTTCCTTATTAGACAGGGTTTGGCCATCTGAAGGTGAGAACAGAAAGAGCATATCAGCAAATCAGTGCAGGGAATAATTTAAGTGCCGTGAATAAGTGAATTATGAATCAGGGACTCAATTTGTTTATGTATAATGAAAACTGTTGGATGACTTTTGGAGACATTTTTTTTCCTAGAAACATTTTTTTTTTCGTCTCTACAGGACTTCAGGACAAAACCATTCCCTGGAAGACGGACGTGACACTTTTCAACGCATGGAAAGGTTTGATCTGCTGCAATTGGGGGTTAGGGCACATTTGGTGCTTGATTGTGCGTATATGTATCAATATTAATCCAAAGTGTTTTTTGTTTTTTTTTGTATGTGTCCAGAGGGACGTACAGGTGTCCCCTTCGTGGACGCCAACATGAGGGAGTTGGCCATGACGGGCTTCATGTCCAACAGGGGGCGCCAAAACGTGGCCAGCTTCCTCACCAAGGACCTGGGCCTTGACTGGAGGATGGGAGCCGAGTACTTTGAGTACCTTTTGGTAATTCTATAAATGCTTTTACGATGCATTTAGTTTTGAATGATTACAAAAAAAAAAAAACAAAAACACCAAAAAAATTTAAGTAATAGCTCGTTTTCACTGATTGACACGAATGTATTTAATACGTTGACATTCTCATTTTTAACTTGGGGCCTACCTCGTCGGTGTCGATAGCACTTCTGGGAATTAAACTTCATGCAAATGTCTTCCCGCAGATCGACCATGACGTCTGCAGTAACTATGGCAATTGGCTGTACAGCGCCGGCATTGGAAATGACCCCCGGGAGAACAGGAAGTTCAACATGGTCAAGCAAGCACTCGACTATGACAGTAACGTACGTTCCGTCAACCACTGCCGTCCTGCTGTATGGCAGATTTTGATGTGAGAGAATATCGCCTTTGTCCATCACAAATCAGCGAGATTGTAAAAATCTGCGATTTCTATACTAGGAATATTGATACCACTTGGCCAACTTGACATTAGACCATATGAAAAGGAGCCATGTGGAGATACAGTACTTGTAAGGTCAACATGGATTGCAATTTTTGTTTGCGTTCAAATCCGTTGCGATTTTAACAAGTTTAAATGTTCATAAAGTGCACGGGAATGGCGAAAACAAACACATTTTACATTCTCTAATTTTACCTACAGTGGTACCTCTACTGAGGAAATGAGTATGTTCTGGAAGAAATTTCTTAACTAGAAAATTTTGTAAGTAGAGACGCGTTTTCCATGTAAATGCCCTAATCCGTTCCAAGCTCCCCAAAATTCAGACATAATTATTTCCTCAAGCATAAAAATGCATCGAAATATGGAACAAATACATGTTCCAATTAGATTATTGCAGAATAAATGAGAGTTGTACATAATGTAAAACACAAAGAATTGAGTAAAGAATAAAAATGATGGTCGCTTAACTTTTAACTGCGTCGTTTTTTGCCCTCTTTAGTTTATGTTCTCCCTCAAAAATGGTTTTTGCCCGGCGTTTTGTCAAGAACTGATCCAAAGACATTTGCTTTTGTCGGCTTTTAACAATCCTTCGAAAATGTCCAAGGCAAACATTAGCATTGTTACCCCTACACTGAAAAAACATGGCTCTGACCCAAACAACTTTGATAACCTCCGCCCCATCTCCAACCTTCCATTTCTCTCGAAAATCCTGGAAAAAACTGTTGCTGCTCAACTCCATTCCCACCTGTCCCTCCACTCTCTCTATGAACCCTTTCAGTCTGGCTTCCGCCCCCGCCATCGCACAGAGACTGCC